TGCACGAGAAAGAGAGAGAGAGAGAGAGAGAGCAGAAAGGAACGATGGTGGAAAAATAGAACGAAGAGAGAAGTAGTGAAAGTTTAAGCCGTATCCATTTACAAGTTTCAAATCGTTCTGGCAGCCAGAGCTTTTGAAAGAAACCTTTTACCATTCTCAATAGACGGTAAAATTCTGAAACGCGCTTAACGGCAGCGTGGCTTTTAAACGTTAACATGGCCACTGGTACAATGGCGGGGTCGCATTATGCTCGAGAGTTGACGGGGGCGGAGAGGAGGGAAGAACAAGGAAACGAGAGAGTGAGAGAGAATGAAAGAAGTGGAGGGAAGACGAAGACGGGCGGCGATGGTCGTGGAACAGGGAAGAATTGCTCTCTTCCGTCAACGCCTGCCACTTGGAGCCATCAAGCTCCATTTTTCCTCTCGTCAAGAGAATTTAACCCTAGAATGAAAGCCGCTAATACTTGCTCAATTTCGTCGCTGTGATTGGATACGTCGTTTCCAAGATGTATCGTTTCTTTGTATCGTTTCGCTGATGATCGATGATCTTTTGATCGTTTTTTGAAGTTTACATTTTTTTCTTTTTCCGAATAATAATAACGTAATTTATTATTCTTATCCGCGCAGACAAACAGAATTGATTGAGCTTTCGAAATAATATTTGAAGAATCTTTTGAGTACCTACCTCTACTATTTATTTCTGAAATCTTCGAACGAAGATAATTAAGATAAAAGGACAAGGATGGGATTGAAGAGTAAAATTTCTTAAATAAATTAAATAATGAAACTTAATCAGTATAACAATAAAATCCTGAAAAAAAAAAAAGACGAGTAATATTTTTCTCCTCGAATCTGTCTCGTCTGATCGAAAAATTCATTATCTACTTTGCAAAACCGGATGATGTATCGAAGAAGAATTACTTTCCCTTTGAACGTTGGAGAGGCGCCATTGCTCGAAACATATTTTCGTTCGATTCGAGGTCCCCGACTGATAAAATCGGCTATAATTCCATAGGGCGGAAAGGTAGCGGAAAATAGTCAGATAACCGGCACGATTCTACAGTAATTTCACAGCGGCGGGATCATTTATGGATCATTTAAGGAGGTCTGGGGAGGTAAGAGGATAGGGGGGGGATAAGGGAGGGGGAATCGGGAAGGAGTAAAAGATATTTCGGGGTGTGTTTTTTATTGAAATGAACGCATCTGGCGTCCAACGAGGGGTTGGACGGCTGAACACGCACTTTTTCCCTCTGGCCGTCCCTCCGACTCTCCCCCAATCGAGGGTAGTTGGCGACCTCCTCGACGCGAGAATGGAAAGAGACCCCACGTTTGGACCATGGGAATAAATCCCTTTATGAAAATTCGAACTCGGCGGCCCAGGTTTTTCTCTCAAAATTTATTGGATCGCCCGTAGCAGACCGCTGACCTTACTTTTCCACTCTTCTGAAAATCGGTGATTCAATAATTTGGACCCTAAATACACCTAATCCTCGTTTTATCGATGGTAAAAGTAAACGTTTGCTCGCGCCGATACCGTTCGAACACCGAAGATATTCCAGCGCACGATATAAAGTGAGGTACACTCGATTCGTGAGAAATGACGCGTTTTCATAAAGCGTGAAGTATTTAGGGCTGCTAATGGATCTGCGATGTATCTTACCTGTTCGATCTATTTTACATTTTGAAGCGTAATAATTAAATTCCAAACATTTTGAGAAATAAAGTAGAAGAAAATCGAGTTTAAAAATACGCGTACGTGTAGATAAAAGTTGAATAATTCTCGTTTGGGTAGTTAGCATGTTGTCAATCTACAAGTGAGTCAAAAATATTTTTTTATTCGTGTCTCGATTCATGTCTCAATTCGTACGAATTGAAAATTTGATTCGAATGTGTTCAACGTGGAATTAGCGAGGTAACATCTGATGATATCGTTAAATTTTCAATTCAGCTTCAAATGAAGAACTTTCTGTTCCATATATATATATATTCTCGACATACTTTTTTTCACATGAAATCACTTCCCTCCTTCCCAATAGTATCATCCACGATACCTTATATATATATATTACGTTTCAACCCGTTAGGCGAGCACCATCGAGTCGTTTAACGCGTACGGAATTTATGAAACAATGTAATTTCATTTCGCGAAGGTGTACATACGTTCGTATTTTACACGGTGTCGGCCATATTATAAATTCATGCGGTATTTCGCATACGTCATATCGCCGGCTGCATACCGCCGACTCTATCCCAGGCGAAAAGTGGCTGAAGGACGTGTGAGCTTCAGCGTGAACAGTCTGTCATAACTTTTTAATACCTCTTAAAGGGGGTACGACTTTGTAATATCTTGCAGGGATATTAGGCCACGTTTTAAAACACGAATAATATCGGTGAATACTTGTGGGTTTGGCCCTTGTGTCCGGACGTTATGTGCACGCTCGGTAGACTCTAACAGGAAGTAGTTAAATGTTACCGGTGTCAGGGCATGGCCTTTGTGTCATGGAGTGAGAGTGAGAGGAGGGGAGGGGAGAAAGGGAGAAGGAGAGTGCTCAGGCTCCGTGGAGTTAGCCGACTGGCAGAGTACTATAAATTACATAAATGAAGTAAGCCCCTTCCTCACTCAAACGGACGTCTTGCCAAGTTTATAACTTAATCACTCGTGCTTTTCATGCCGACGGAGGAGCTTAAAGGTCGAGGGACCGGGTAGTGTAAGACGAAAGTGATGCGAGGAGGGGAGAAATTATAAGGGGAGGAAAGTGAATTGGAAAAAGAATTTGATTGGAAAAGTTTTTCTTTTTTTTTTTAAGTATCGGCATTATTGGAAATCAAGCTTAATTCTTTCTTTCGTCTCGGCGATCGTCGAAACAATAATGTGATACGATCAATTCCCTCGATACACATTGAATTTTTATTTCGAATTACGCGTATTTTATTCCTTGATTGAAATTTGTAATACATATCATTATTCAATTAATCATTACCCATAAAATATTGAATAATACGTAATAATATGTATGCTCCGGTTGAAATATGAAATATTAAATTGAATATATACCATATTCCCGATATTCCATTCGATATAATTAGGTATCTTCCTGTTGTTTGTCGGTTATCTAGTCCTTACATCATTCATGATATTAAACGTAATATTATTGTACATTAGCAACGTGTACAGTGGTGTATTAAGTTTAGAAAAGTTGATTAAACTTGGTGGCCGTGAAATCAATGAATTATAAAAAGACGGAATTTAGGGCTATCCCATCGCATTAAAGTTGCGCAAGTCGCGCGGATAAATTGCTAAAAAGCGTTTTATTAAAAGATTACGCGGAAAGCGGAATTCGCGAGATTTCATTATTTTCGTACGAAGCGTAAAATGTCACTGTTCGCGCAAAATGGCCATTACCGCATAATACACGGGGAGAAAGAAGAAAAAGAGAGAGTGAAAAGGAAAAGAAAAAGAAAAAAGAAGGAGAAAAAAAAAGAAAAATAACGCTCACGCGTTTTATTCCATCTATTCACCCCATAAGCTCGTACCTTGTACGAATAACACATTCATCAATTTAACTACTTTATATTCCCTTTGTATTCCCCGTGAAACCACTCTCCATAGAAAATCAAATAATTTCCGCCCGAAGTTTCCCGTGCATTAGCATTCCGGCCAGCGTCGGAATAAAAGTAATCCCGTACATTACTCTCGTTACACTCACAACTTTGATCTTGTCGTTTCGTGGCCCGTGATCTTTTCCTCCCTTACTAATAATCCCAGCTGGGTAAATAAATAAGGATTATAAAATTCGGGATCGATCGAACGATTTAATCACTCGAACAAAGTGCGAGGCGTAATATACATAATAAACTTGACTCAATGTCGATATCTGTTGTAATAGATCGCGCTCGATCTCCAACGTAATTTAATTCAGCGCGTCCGCTTCTATTTCCGGTGTAAAATTTAAGAGAGAGAGAGAAAGAGAGAGAGAGAGAATGGTCGAAGGATCGCGAGCTGTCGACTCGCATTCGGCTCCAGTATCCATCGGCTGTGTTTAATTACGAGTCATCCGGCGTAGTTTCGCCTCTTCTCCCGCGCGCAGACTGCTTCAGCGAGGAAGCACTAACTTCTGGTTATCTTAAGCGACATCGCGCACAGGATTCGTATAACTCGTCGGATAAGTTGAGCCTGAATTACTACGCTTCCCGCGTAAGGATCAGGACGAGATGAGGAGGAGGAAGAGGATGGGCGGTGAAGGAAGAAGTCGAGCGAGGGAGCGAGATTAAAATCACCTGGAGACCAATGCAAAGTTTTTAATAACCCTTGATGCTTGATTAAGTTATGACTCTTCGTTGGCTCGTTCTCTCTTCTCTCTTTTCCTCTTGCGCAAGACTATCGTTTCGTCATCCCTTCCTCGATCTTTCATTTTCGTGCTCGTCCTCGAGCGAAATAAATTTCGAGCAGAAATGCTTAGACTACGTTCGAGTGGAACGGGTGCCTCCGACGAGAAAGGGGTTGGAAAGGAAACAAAACTCGTCCGACTCTGCTGAATTAATGGAAGATCCGACGACAAATGCGTGGAAGTTACGTTAACTGGGGATGTTTCTTAAGTATGGCGAATTAAAAAAAAGAAAATATTCATTAGAACCGTGACAAGATTTATTTAAATATCGGTTAAGAGGTTCGATATCTTTAAGTAGAATTTTTGATTTTGAATGTATAATATAGTATTGTTTTATAGATCTGATATTATTATTTGTTTATTATTTCTTTAATTCTATCGGAATTCAAGCGAACATTGTAGTATATTAAACGATGAGAAACATCGCTTGGTGTAAAATAAGATACAAGAAAGAAAGACGATTTTTTAACAGAAAAGACGATTTAATCAAAAACTTCAACGATTAAGCTTAATTACATCGTTCCATCGTACCATCGTATTTCGTTTCATATCACATAACGAGGCATCGTTCGTTACCGATTATTAAACGAGATCCGTTCTTTCTATGTTTCAGGTTTTGGCTTCGTCACGTTTCAAAGTGAGGATGTGGTCGACAAAGTCTGCGAGATTCATTTCCACGAAATCAACAACAAAATGGTGAGTCTTCGCGTCGGTTGGCAAAGTTCGTTCGAGGAGAGCACAACTTCCTCTCCTCCTTCTCGCTCCCCGTCACTCTTTCTCTTCATCCTTCCTTCATCCTGCCACGTGGCCGCAGAGGTGGTATCAAACGGTATTTGCCTTCCGCTCTTCGTCTGCGGATACGGCGTCGAGCGGAATTAATTTTCCGTATAATTGAGAAGGGCTGGTCGTGGTTATTTGCATTTGACACGCACGCACGCGACACACACGGATATTCGCGAACGATCACGGCCGGGCCACGTGAAAGACGAAAAGCGGTTTCTCGAAAGCCGTTCGTAGCGGAGATCACACAGGTCCCACGGTAATAGACAATTCACTGTTTGTCGTCTACTACCAGACAAATTCCTGTGACGTCAGTCAAGGATTTAGCTAGATGCCACTTCTCGTTACCCATAAATCCATACGACCCCGAGAGATGATCCCGATTCCGCATCAATAATCCACCGATATATCGTCTCATATAAAACATCGTCGCCTATTTGGAATGATGATATTCCAGATAAGATAGATCGTCGGATTATTTTTGATCAGCGAGAATTTTTCAAGATTCACGAGAATACTCAAATTACCATTATCATTTATATCCCTTGTTTCCAAAATTGATCTCTTTCTTCTACAAATATTTAATTGAACGATCCTCGCATCGACAATTACCTGAATTACTTCCATTGTATTTCAAACGCGATTGAGAATCGAAGAAATTCTCGCGAGAAACCTTTTATCAACTCCCAACAACCACCCCATCCACCCCAAGATACCGTTACATCCGCGAAGCAGCGAGGGTGCGGCAACTGATCCTGTTGTTCTGAATTTCAAGGTCGAATGCAAGAAAGCACAGCCGAAGGAAGTGATGCTCCCGGCGAACCTGGCGAAGACGCGAGCGGCCAACAGAGGCGCATACGGTGAGTTGGTGATGGTCGCGACACCCACCCCCACCACCTATCGTTACGCGCCGTATCCCCTGCCGACGGCCGCTGCCGCCGCCGCACATGCAGCCGCGGCAGCATCCGCCGGAACCCCCCACCACCACTTGCTCACTCCGATAGTCGCTACCGCCGCACCAAACGCGGCCGCTACCTACCAGTACGCTACCGGCGCGACCGCACCCGCGGCGGCCGCGGCGGCCACCACCGCGGCTGTCTACGATGTCAAGAGGGCCCTCGCAGCTGCGGCTGCGGCCGCGGCCGCGGCCTCGTACAGGCCTCACCCGGTCGCGGCAGCGGCAGCGTCTCGGGCCGCCACTCTCACTTACTCGATGAGCGACCTGTTGGGCATACAGGGCCTCGACATGGGCGCCGTCTACCACCCGATACCCACGATCGGCCTATGACCGACGATACTCACGCCCCTTACCAGGCCTCAATAGGCCGGCAAGGGGGCGGTGTTGAGTTTATTTCTTCCGGGTAGATAGGTTTTGGATAGATTCTTCTTTTTTCTTTTTTTTTTTTTTTCGTTCGGTAGTTAAAATTTGGTCAGAAGAAACAATAAATATATTTGTTATTGGATATCGAGGGGTAGAGATGTATATGTGGTAGGTTGTATATTTTCGGTATACTTTTGATGATGATAAATTTGTTCGATTGTTCTAATGTGCCAAGGGGTTGAGAAGGGGTTGTGCAATTTTCCGTGGAATGGTTGGTGAAAGTTTGAGAAAGTGTTGTGTTTGGTCGAGTTCATTTCGGTTTGACGTGTTGGTATCCTGTTCCTTTATGAGACTTGTTCACGCGACAATTGTGTTCCGTATACCAATCGATACTTTCTTGCATTAGTTTAGTTTCTTCTTCTTTTTTATATAAGTTTATAGAAGTTTGTTTATAAGACGTGTACATAGAAATGTTTTTTCTTCTTCGATACGACGGGATACCACGTGCCCTTTTTTCGGTACTTCGAACATTCCTTGTGACATGTCGCCTTCGTTTTCGGGAAAGTATTAGCGTAAATTACGATGATTTGATCCGGCGTAGCAGCGAATCGAAGACATATCGAGAAGTGCAATAAACGTAGCCTAGACGAAACCATTCCTTTTTATTCCCCCTCCGAGGAATTTCGAGTGTGGGAATAAGCGAATTCTCGCGAGACTGCTCGAGAAGCTCAGTTCAGTAAAAACTGTGATCGTAGTGAGAGAAAAAAAATAAGAAGAATAAGATTGAATGAAAAAAAAAAAAGGTATAAAATAGTAGTGGATCATAGTTAGAATTCGATTAGCAGCCTGCGTGGCATTTTTCCTCGTAGCCAAAGAATAGTAGTTATCGTAAACAACGGAACAAACTTGAATCGCAAAAGACTGGTAGTGATTTCGTAGTTGACTTAGCACGAGTTAGGAGGACAATAAACGGAAGTGTTCAAATTTAGAGAGATTTAATTAGTTTCAATGAGCAGCGCTCGGTAGATACATTCGAAGTACGGTAAAGTACCTCTTCAACGAAAGCCGCTCCTCCTTTTCAGAGCAAATTTCGAGGGAAATTTTGTCGGTTTTTCAAAATTATCGATAATCAAATGAAAAGTAGTGGGAAAGACAATCAAGTGACCAAAATGACCAACGAATCACGTGTCTCGATGATACACCTTAGTTGAAAACGATTGTAGTGAGATTAGACGATTTAGCAAAATTTTCATTTGGAGAGGAGGAAAGGGGCTCGAGTGAAAATCAGGTGACAGATATTTAGATAGTACTTTTCGACGAAATAAATAAACAAACAAAAAAGAGATACAAATTCCTGCCTCGAAACGGGTCGCGTTCGCGACAACACGTCAATTGATTCGTAGATCGTAGATTATTTATCGTAGGGAACTCGATCGAAGCTTTAAAGTAGTAGTGCTCGCTGTGTTCGCGTGATTGAACATGACGATTCAGTTTCGAGAGACGATCGTGATGGGATCGGCGATGGTATTGGCGAAGAAAGAAAAGGGGAGCATATGAAACATGAAATCTATGGGACTCGATCGAGGTCGAGGTTCTTGCGACATTCTATTTTCCGTGAAAGTGAAGGTTGTTCGCTCGATTTCGTGAGCGAGGGCGCCCGTCGTCGAGATCGTAGATTGTTAGAATTTCGTCGAAGCGGAAAGAGTGGGAAAAAAAAAGAAAAGAAAAGAAAAAAGAGATGTAAGGAAGGAAGGAATAGGAGGAAGGGGAAGAAGAGAAAAGAATAAAATAAAATAAAAGAGAGAATACATTCCCAGGTAGCGGCACGCCGTGTATTATTCCCAGAAGGAGGTGAATTTCTGATTTGCGCGGGATGATATGTCGAGTGGTATAAATAAAGCCGTGAATCGTGAATGGTGAAGGCGGATAGCGCGTCGAGAGCGCGCGGCAAATGGTCGACGATAAGCATTTCTCATTCGTCGCGCCTTTCAGAGTATTTTTCGCAATGAATTTCATGAAATTTCATAATGCCGAGAAAATGAAGCATGTACTCCAATACGGCGTACACGTGTACGAGAAAAGAAAAGGAAAATTAAAAAAAATTCGAAAAAGAAAAAAAAAAAGTAAAAATAAGGAAAAGGACGCGAGTTCAGAACTATGTACATGTATATAAATGCACACGTGAATCTATATACATATACATAGACACTTGTACGCATATAACGTGTATAATTATAATATGATACGTACCTTATTTAAAAAAGAAAAAAAAATTACGAAAAGGGAAACGAAATGACAAAAAAAAAAATTATCACAAAAGTATTAATCCATTCTAGATATATAATAACAGATTATATACATATATTGTTTTGTATCTACATTTTGGTAAAACGCCATATAGTATTTGATATTGATATCGATATATTTTGTGAGAGCCGCATTACAACCTTCTAGTTTTTGTAATAGACCTACAGATTATATACATATCTGAGCATATCTATCTATATATATATATATCTATTTATACATAAATATCTAGGTAATTAGGTAAACATTTGTGTTGTTAAAATACCTTAGTTATTTAATGAGACTCTTTTAGGTGAAACTTTTAGGTTTGAATTAGCTAGAGCGAATATAATTTTTGACAAATTACTATACTATGTATACGTTCCTATCATTGAAACTACTAGTTAACTATAGCTTTTTTGGGAAGTCACTATGATACCGTTAGTTTAGAAATATTACTCTAGGTGTTTCTTCGTGGAAGATCCCTCTTGATCCCTCTCTTTCGTCTTTTCTTCGTTCCTCCTTTTCGATCTTTTATCGCGTGTAGAAAACAATATAACGATAGAATAAAATTAAAAAGTGAAAAGAAAAAAAGAAGAAAAATTAAAAAAAAGAGGAAAGAAAGAGAAATATCGTAGAGTTTTCCACGAGGAATGCATATTATCAGCGGCTTCAAAGAGACCTATTACAATGTACCTACTACTTAACAAGCTACGTTACATAGTACGTTTATATTACGTTACACGTAATATTATACCTCTCTATAGGATATATACTAAATATATATCGTGCGTTTACACCTTACAAAAAAAAAAACCAAACATCCCTCAACCATATGTATATATATCACATGTATATGTATATATATATATATATGGTTCATTCCCCTCCATTCCCCCATTCCTCGAAGACCTCTATTACTCGTTACATAGTATTTAACTCTTCTAAGCTATATAGCATCATTTTACCTTAATAATAATGCGTGAGACGTGTGTCCTAGAAAGTACGTACTTTGCCCGAGAGGCTCAACAGTGTCAGTTTCGTAAGTAGACCAGATCTTAACATGCGGTTTATCTTTCTGTTCACACCTTTGTAATGCTTTGTTGGGCCGGATTTTGATTTGTTACACGGGGAAACACGTAGCGTTACGCCTATTTGTCTAGACAGAGAATCCAATTAGAAAATATATATACATATATATTATGCGTCTTCCTTATCCCCGTAAACGTATGTAGGCGCGCAAATGAACGAACGAGATCGGAGGAAAAAAGAATAAGGAAGAAAAGGAAAAGAAAAAAAAAGGAGAGAAAAGATAAAGAAAAGAAAAGAAGAAAGAAAAAAGGAAAAATAAGAAAGACTAAAGGAAAAAAAACAACGTGAAATAACATCGATGAATGAAAAAAAAAAAGAAAAAAGGAAAAGAAAGAAAAAACGAATATGTTTGCGTTTCCTCACACAAAGATAGTTTCTCTTGTGACATTTTGTTCGTGTGTGTGTCGTCTCTCTCTCGTTCTCTCTCACACTTTTCTTCTCTCTCTCTCTCTCTCTGTCTCTCGCTCACTCTCTCTGTCTCTCTCTGTCTCTCTCTCTCTCTCTCTCTCTCTCTCTCTGTCTTCTTTTTTGGGAAACATCCGGCACATCGGGAATGAAGTAATAAAATTCGGGAATTCGGAGTGACTTCAATGGAATTCCATGTTTGCCAAAGCTATCGATGTGACGTAAATGTTAATCGGCCGACAAGTCGATCGTGAAACTCGAGCGGAATGAGCTTTATACGCTCCTGTAAGAGACTATTAATGTTAATGTCGTACGTAAACGTCTGCTCTACGTGAAATCGATTTGTTGCATCTGAGAAAGTACATGTATATTATATTATTATTATTAATATTAATATTACTACTATTACTTAAACGTATAGATATATACAAAGTCAAGCTACAATTGTCAAGTAATAAATAATGCAATAAAACGATACGATATACGCGTTGCAGTGTGCATATTACAAATATTTATATAAATAAATAAATAAATATATATACATAAATATTAAATATACATATATACATACATATATATACATATATATACATACATACATGTCGAATCCATTTACGTACGTCAATATTCTATCTATATATGACAGTAAAGTGAATGGTATTTAAATAAACACGAGATAATGTTCGAAATATATACATTCAAGCGAAGTTTTCATTCTTGTTCGGAGGGATTTTCTATAAAAGAGAGTATTATGGTGGAAAGGAAAAAGAAAAACGAAAAGAAAAAGAACAGGAACAAGATGCACACAAAGAGCAAACGAAAAAAAAAAAAGAAAAAGAAAAGAAAAAGAAAGTAAAAAAAAAAAAAAAAAAAGAAAGAAAAGAAACGATGAAATGATATAGAATCGTGTTGCGTGCTTGACGTAATCAAAACCAGCCCGGTAGAGAGACTTTAGGTACGAAATCACTAATACTATTAATATGTATCAGTGTATCTTTTAATAGTTAGAATAAACGCTCTTATACTTTTCCATCTGCGTATATTGTGAGAGCAGCGTCAATATGGACACTAGAATAGTGATACAGTAGTGTAGTATTGTGGTCGGTGTTTTTTTTCAATATTGTATCGTCGATCTAAGTGTGGTAGTGGCGTCGATAATGTGTCAAGCGTTTCGAAAGCATCCATACATGTATTTTCCCCCGCCCCCCTTTTTTTTTTTAATCGAAAATTTCAAATTCATATTTTCGATTTTAAGAGGTTTAATACATAGCGTTCCATAGTTTTCAATTGTCATTCGAATGGAAAAAAAAAAGAATTTGCAAATTTGTTTCTCCGGGGATCGCACGACACATTATCGGCCCTTAGTCAATATCTAATAAGCTATATAGTCAGCCTAGCAAATATTACTTAACGGTAAATGATTAACCAATACCTTGAAGGCTACAATAACCATAGATCATAGGAGGGTTTATTTTGTCGTAGAATTGGAAACACCTCGGCCGCGCGTAGTTACTAGTACCTTGTCACAGAATTTAGTCGATGCGCTATATAGTCGATGCGATATACATATTTATAAATAGTCAGAATTTTAGTTGTGTGGTCTTTTCAATTAGTATCAAATTATGAAATTTCATGGATGCCTTCTTTCTCTTCTCTCTCTTCTCTCTCTCTCTCTCTCTCTATCTCTCTTCTTCTCTTTCTATTTTACTTCTATAATATTCCAAACTATTTCTTGCTCTTTATCTATCTATCTCTTATCTATCTCTGTTTCTCTGTCTTCTCTCTCTCTCTCTCTAACCTAGATACGCTTTCAATTCGATTTCTCTCGTTTTTTGATCTGTTCTTTTTCTCTGATCTTCTTTTCCTTTATTATATACTCTTTTTTTTCAAATCTTTTTCTTGTTTTTATTATTATTTTTTTTTTATCCTTCACTCATTGTTTGAAACCTAGTCATCCGTTACACTCGAACCGTCTATTTCGACGAATTTCTGCAACGCTTCGCTTTATACTTAACTACTTGTCTCCATGTACATATATTAATTGTCTACGCATACCTTCGCCTGCACGAAGAAAAATATTGCACAACAGAATCATCATTTAGTTAAAATTCGCGAGTTAAAATTCACCATCGATATATAGCCTTATGGAATTTAGTCGCGTTCGCCTTTTTAGAATCATCGATCATTCTTTTTTTCTTTTTCTTTTTTTTTTCTAGATCGAAGATCGCCCAGTACTTTTCTTCGTGCTTAGTTGCAGAAATTTTTATATATTCATACTTACAATACCATTGCACTAACCAATCGAGGCAATTGAAATGAGCAAATGAAGGGAAAAGAATGAAAAAAAAAAAAAAAAAGAATGTGCAAAAGAAAAAAAAAAATTAATTATCCGTTAAGATCAATCTCGCCACGGTATTAATGTGATCTGTTTTTCCTTATAGATTTTATGTGGTCCCTGGGAGCATTACCTGATGGTGAGTATTGAAATATGCACGAACATGTACAACAAAACGACTCCAATGTCCAGTGACATGTCTACATGACTATACCGTAATCAACGTTCAGTTTGACGTAAGACCATCGTTGTAATATTCACGTGTCGATCAATCAAGTCGAAATGTATACCAGATACTAGATACTAGTCACGTTCTCTCTCTTCGTACTCCTCGCTCGAATCATGCGTGATTCGACGAGAAAATCATGCAAACGTTTCACCAAACGCGCCATGCAAACTTTCGCCTTTGTGAAAATGCAACTGGTTCATTAACGTAATTACTCGGCCAGCGTTTATCTCGTCACGCGTCATGTTACATTGAAGAATCACATACGTGTGTATATGTGTGTGTCGATACGCGACAGGAATACACGATACATATATAAATCTATATTAATATATATATGTATATTAATTTCGTTCGAATTAAATTGAAATATTAAAAGCGAACCGATAAGGATCTTTGCTCGTGGAGATCGTTCGACCAGTAATTTCATAGCGTTTTCTCGATTGAAAATACTTTCTGTAAAAGTAATACGGTACGTACCTGTGGGAAATATTTTACGTATCTATTATAATATATTTCACAAAAGGGAGCATGTAGATCGTAGTTTATAGAGGACGTATATATATTTGTAGATAGATGTAACCGATCAAATCACAATTTAACTCGAACTTTATTCTATACACTGTGATATTTAGAGGGATATAATCGTTAGAAGGAATTTTTTTATGATATTAGAGAAGCCTTTGTAGTAACGTTATTCTAACTGAACTGTTAAATGGTTTGGACTCGAAATAAACATAACGTCGTTGCTTTATATAGCTCGTGATTACTCAAAATAATAACAAATAACATTAAGGCGTAATGCTTCTGTTAAAAATTCCGTACCGTTAAGCTGCAGAATTAGAAATCCACAACGAATATATTAATTTCGCACGTACAAGCTTCGCTCAGAATAGGTTGGAAAAGGCTATTTATCCCATCTAGCGAAATTACACTACGCATTTAGGGTGGAACGAAAAAAAAGTAAGAAATAAAAGTGACCGAATAACTTAAATATTTCAGTATGTACACGTTTCAAACGTCTGATCAAAGAGACAAATCTTATCACAGAAATTCTAATCTTCAAAAATAGAACGATCGGATAATATTTTCGTTTTACCCTAACTCACGTTACGCGATAGATACGACACGAAATAACGTTTCCACAATGACCCTTCATAACACTTCACCTTCTCCAAAATCACACAGGTAACCGATCACACAGAGAAGGGAGGGAGGGGGAAAAAAAAAGCTGACGTATTCTTTTGCTCTGTTCACAGGTTTCCCAGCGGCGGCGTACGCGGCATACGCGGCAAGCCGCGGCTATTCTGGGTACCCTAGTTTCGGACTGCCCTACCCGACAGGTAACCACCTTAGCCTTAACCACCTTAACCACCATAATGCGGCCCACATCGCGCCCCTCAACCTGAACTTGAACCTGATACAGGCACAGCCTGCACCCCACCATAACCCGCCTACCCCCACACCGCTCTTTTACCATCCCAATTTGGACCTCTACAACGCCATGCCTCTGTGAACTAACTAATAATAACTATAATAACGTGTATAATCTAATAACAAAATCTCGACATCGAGCTATGCGCACATATCTCTAACTCAACAACCCTTATTACCAGCCATTGCTACACCATTTTACTAACTGTGCTCTCGCTGTCGCTACTCGTTGTCCTGCTCGTCGTCGCCGTCGTCTCTGTCCTCCGATCCTAACACGAGAATCGAGCGAGTTTACACGTGGCGCGTGGGCGGTCGGGCAAGATGGACGAGCCAAACATTTCTCGTTTGGAAATGAGAGAGGCACGGTTCGAAGGAGAAGCGCGACTCTCCGAGGTCTCGAGAGGCTCGAGGTGTTTGTTTCGAGACTGTGAGCCGTTTTCCAGTCGAAATTCATTGAGAACGAAGCATTGGCTCCTCGAAGCACTCGAGCTTCAGTTGAATCCGGACAATTTCGAACGAACGGTTAATTTTAAGGAGGAATTCGTGCTCCTTCGAATTCGTGCCCCTTCGTCACGTCAGCTCGAATGACCACGCGAAACGACGTGATCGATTTCTCGTTTCGAGGAGAGATCGTCGTTTATGCTCGCATTCTATCCTTTTTCGATAAGAAGAGGCCGGAAGTCGATGGAGATATATTCGTGCGACGGTGTTTCCGCTCTCGACGACAGGACACTCGGTGAAATAAAGTGATTGCGCCACCAATGTTCCATCGAGAACGATGTTGGTGGGGCAAACGTTAACCCTCTCTACGTCCACCGCGAAGGGCGTTGTGTATCAGCAACGTTTGCTCGGGCTCCGACGATCCTCAAGTTCCGAATCGGCGGAGCGCCGATTAACAGTCGATTAACGAAAGAAGTGGGTGAAAACGTTGTACAAAATCGTTATTAAATTATCATATCGGTATAGTCTTGTCGAGGTTAAGATTTAAGATACATTAATTAAGGAAGTGTCGACTCTTTGGACGAATTTTTTACCCCGTTCCGTGTTCACACCCAGGCGAGATAATTGGAGAACGATACTTGTGTGATTACCTATGTTTCCCACTTGGCGCGAATAAATTAACGTTTTGTAAATTTTTATAAAAAAACGCGACAATTATGTTATGAAAATTTAAAACGGGAAGGAAAGTTATAAATTATATTCTCTTCGTCCGTGTTTATTCGTTATCGGCATATTAACACGTATGCGTATCGCAAAATATGTTTTCAAGCTCGCGCGAGCTAAAAATACGAAGAGAAATAGTCGCGTATTTTAACGGCGAGATAATTCTCTCGGATTGAATTTGTACTTGAAACGTAACGCAATTCGCAAAACGCACGCAAAATGCACGCGGGCGTAAAAATGTAGATCGGAGAGAATTGAAATCCTCTCCCCGGGAACTGGGACAAGATAATGAGAGGCTGATGTATGGGAAAAGTTACGTCGTTAAAACCGACTCTGGCTTTCTTACCGTCTGCGCTCGATAGCAGCTTGCGTGCCTTCGACTGTCAATAACAAACAACTCCGCTGCTACGGAATTTTCTTTCGAAGCATCAAGGCTTTGCGATCGGCGAAACGCTTTAAAATTGCTTCGGCTAATCGATTAATCAATTTCAATTACCTCTACCTCTATTTCTCTCTCTCTCTCTC